CCTCAGTCTCCTAAGTAGCTGGGACCAGAAGCATGCATCACCGTGCCCAGCTAAGAGGTACAATTTCTATATATCAAAATGTATTTGCTGTAAGAGCACATTGGGTTTTGACAAATACATCCATCTGTGAAAGCACTACCACAATCAAGATATAACATTTTCCCATTGCTCCAGAAAGTTCCCTCCTGCCCTTTTGCAGTCAATTTCCCACCACATCCCACCTCTGGCCCTAGGCAACCACTGATCTGCTTCCTGTCCAGTCTAGAATTTCCTATGGGTAGAGTGATACACTATGGACTCCTCCGTGCCTGGCATCTTTTGCTTAGCATATTTTTGACAGCCATGCACCCTGTTGCATGTATCAGCGGTTCATTCCTCTTTACTACTAAGTGCTGTTCCCTTGTATGAGGATACCAATTTAATTCTGCATTCATCTGGTGATGGACATTTGGCTTATGGATCAGTCAGGAGATAGAAACCAGTAATTTGAACAGGAAAATGTATTATAATTGTTAGCTAGTAAAAAGTGGTTAACAACAACAAGGGGTAAAAGAGGGTTCTAAGGTGGCTCAAACCTGTAATCCCAGCACTTTGGGAGACTGAGGCAGGTGGATCGCTTGAGCCTAAGGGTTGGAGACCAGCCTTGGCAACAGGGTGAAACCCTGTCTCTACCAAAAATACAAAACACTAGCTGGGTGTGGTGGCACATGCCTGTGGGTGGTCCCAGCTATTCAGGAGGCTGAGGTGGGAGGATCGCTTGAGCCAGGGAGGTGGAGGAAGCAGTGAGCCGAGATTGTGCCACTGCCCTCCAGCCTGGGTGAGTGACCCGCCCACCTCCCAGAAACAGAGGGCTGTAAGGGATCGAGAAGCAGCAAGTACAGTGAGGGAGAGTGGACTCTCCAAAATATTTAAATTGTGTTAAGGAGAGGAGAGGTTATTTTTCTCTTTTGATGCTATGACAATCCTTGTCAACACCATTCTTCACCACCACACTCCAGCCACATACAAACAAACTAAGAAAGAAGGCATTGATTGCTAATGTAACTATTTAGAGCCCAAAACATTCGTTGGACCACATTGTACTAGTAGTCAGTCACCATGTGCCACTAGCTTAGCAGTGCTATCAATCTCTCATTCCTCCACTTTCACAGACCATGGCAGGACTCAGCTATCCCAAGCATGCCATGTAGTCCATTTGAGGCTTTACCAGTAAGTCCTTTGGAGACAGCAGATCATTGCTCAGATTTTTGTTCACTGAGCTAATTTACTTCTCTGTCATTATTTTAGAGGACAATCTGCATACAATGATACATAGCTAATTCTTGAGTATCCTTTAAACTTCATTTCATTGTAGCTTAATGCAGAATATACTCACACAGTGTCATCCTGAAGTGACAATTAGAAAAGTATACGGATATTTTCAAATTAGTGTTTAGTTTTGTAATGTGTGACTATTCTCTTAAAAGCTTTAGGAAAGATTTTAGGAATTCTATTTTTATGAGATTAGTATATTTTAATTGCCCACATTGTTTGTTGGTGATTCAATTTTTTTCACCTTAAAAATATTAATGTGGGGCTTACAAGCTCATAAATCAGTTACTGTTCAAATTTTTTAAAAAGCCGGCCAGGCGCAGTGGCTCACGCCTGTAATCCCAGCACTTTGGGAGGCCGAGGCGGGCGGATCACAAGGTCAGGAGATCGAGACCACGGTGAAACCCCATCTCTACTAAAAATACAAAAAATTAGCCAGGCGCTGTGGCGGGTGCCTGTAGTCCCAGCTGGTCGGGAGGCTGAGGCAGGAGAATGGCGTGAACCCGGGAGGGGGAGCTTGCAGTGAGCCGAGATTGCACCACTGCACTCCAGCCTGGGAGACAGAGCGAGACTCCATCTCAAAAAAAAAAACAAAACAAAACAAACAAACAAACAAAAAACTGACGTGCCTTGGCTAGTGCAAACAGTAAAACAGTTTTTTAACTGTGTTTGTTTGATTAGCTTGGAATCTAACAAACATTCTGTAAGAAGTCACTACCAAGGATAGGAGAAACAGATAGCCTGGCACTTCCTTCCTTACTAATGAAATGTTACGCATTTCAGTACTTTCTACGCAAGGAAAACCAATATTGTATAAGAGTAATTAAAGTGTTCACAATTAGGTTCATACTCTGGTTTCTCTTCAGATCGTATACATCTTTTGTCTTTTACTAAAGATTTCCGTGGAAAGGAACAATTCTGAGTTTCTGACTAAGTTTTGTTTTGTTTTGAGACGGAGTCTTGCTCTGTTGCCCAGGCTGGAGTGCAGTGGTGTGATCTTGGCTCACTGCAACCTCCGCCTCTCGGGTTCAAGCCATTCTTCTGCCTCAGCCTCCCAAGTAGCTGGGACTACAGGCACTCACCACCATGCCAGGCTAATTTTTGTATTTTTAGTAGAAACAGGGTTTCACCATGTTGGCCAGTCTGGTCTTGAACTCCTGACCTCAGGTGATCTGCCCCCCTCGGCCTCCCAAAGCGTTGGGATTACAGGCGTGAGCCACTGTGCCCGGCCCGACCAAGTTTTTGAGGCCTTGCATATGTGGCACTTATTTTTATTTATTTATTTTTAATTTTTATTTATTTATTTTTTATTTTTTTATTAATATTTTTTGAGACAGAGTCTTACTCTGTCACCCAGGCTGGAGTGCAGTGGCATGATCTCAGCTCACTGCAACCTCTGCCTCCAGGGTTCAAGTGATTCTCGTGCCTCAGCCTCCCAAGTAGCTGGGATTACAGGCATGTACCACCACACCTGGCTAATTTTTGTATTTTTAGTAGAGACAGGGTTTCACCATGTTGGCCAGTCTGGTCTTGAACTCCCGACCTCATGTGATCCACCCGCCTCGGCCTCCCAAAGTGCTGGGATTACAGGTGTGAGCCACCATGCCTGGCCCAGGGCTTATTTTTTTAAAAATGTTACAGATATTAAAGTTTGTATATTTTCCTAGTAGCATCAACAACCTGTTATTACCTAGATAACCACCCTTCTTTCATCACTCAAATATAAATTGAGGGGCTATATAGGACCAGAGTTCTGCTACATACCAGAAAAGCGAAGAACTACAGAGTCCAACTCTTGCTCTGTGGAGTTTATAGCACAGCTAAGAAGACACAGAAAAGTCATTACAAGTGTTTTTGAGGAAGTACAGGGTGCAATAGGACCTAAAGGTCAATTACCTAGACTGTGGCTCACCCTGATTTCTTGATTCTTCTTGTATTTTCTTTTCTTTTTTTGGGTGGGGGGAGGTGCGGGGGACAGAGTCTTGCTCTGTCGCCCAGGCTGGAGTGTGGTGGTGTGATCTCTGCTCACTGCAACCTCCACCTACCAGGTTCAAGTGACTCTCCTGCTTCAGCCTCCCGAGTAGCTGGAACTACAGGCGCCCGCCACCACACCTGGCTAATTTTTTGTATTTTTAGTAGACACGGGGCTTCACCATCTTGGCCAGGCTCCTCTCGAGTTCCTGATCTCAAGTGAGCCTCTCGCCTTGGCCTCCGAAAGAGCTGGGGTTACAGGTTTGAGCCACTGCACCCGGCCTCATTTTATTTTTATAAGACAGGGTCTCACTATGTTGCCCAGGCTGGTCTTGAATTCCCGAACTCAAGTGCTCCTCCTGCCTCGGTCTCTCAAAGTGCTGGGATTACAGGCCTGAGCCAACGTGGCCAGCCTCTTCCATTTCAAAATTGAAAAAAGAAAGTGAAGATATAAGCTACATTAAACGATGGTATGCATGCACATTTATCTTCCAGGAAGAATATTATTCAGTCAAATAATCGAGGTTCTCTCAGGCAACCTCTCTGGAAGGTTTGCTTGTGTGTCTGGTGGTAGATACCCCAAATTCTCAAAGAAGAAAGCAGGGAGTGGTGTGGAAGGGGTTGCCATGTGGAGATGAATTGGATTCAGTTTTCTATCTTTTAAGTTTTATTTTTACTTCCATGGCTGGGCACAGTGGCTCATGCCTGTAATCCTAGCACTTTGGGAGGCCAAGGCGGGAGAATCGCTTGAGCCCAGGAGTTTGAGAGCAGCCTGGGTAATATAGTGAGACTCCATCTCTTAAAAACATTATTTTTTTAAATAAATAAATTTTATCTTCACTTAGGTGGAGACAGAGTCTCCCTATATTGCCCAGGCTGGTCTTGAACTCCTGGTCTCATGGGATCTTCCCACCTGGGCTTCCCAAACTGTTGGGACTACAGGCGTGAGCCACTGAGCTCAGTGAGTTTCCTTTCAAAGGAAAAAGAAGTGGTTGTTGAGCTCCTTCCGAAGAGGCAAAAGACAGAGCTGAGCAGGGCAAGAAAGCCGTGCCCTTGGGGGGAGCAGAATTCAGGGTCTAATTCCTGTTGCTTTAGCCTCCGATTGCTACCTGCCGGGAGAGCCGATAACATCGCATGGGTACAGGGCTGCGGAACTGGAGCGCCTTGGCTATTTACACTGACCTGGAAAATGTCAGGATAAATGACAGAAGGCGGGGGTTGGTGACTGCACTCCTTCTAGAAGTCTCAACGCTTTGTGGGTATTGAGTTGTGTTTTTCCCCCTTACCGTTGACTTATCACTAAGTCACTGAGGAAGGATGGCCTGTAAATCGGAAGGGAGGGACTTAAAGTGAGACAGGCACCCCCCACACAGGTCACAGTTTAAAAGAAGATGGTTCAGACCGTTATGCGAAATGATCTCAGAGTGGCTGTTCACCTTCCCCAAAGCTGCATTAAAAAAAATTAGGATGGGTGACATCCCCCTTAGAAGACAGACCCCCCACACTGAGACTAGCCCTCTTATCGGCTGGCCAGGGCGAGGAGGGGTGTGTGCAGGCTTGCCCTCGATGCCGCAGCCGGGGCAGGTGGGCATGAATGCGGCCCCACGCCAGGCTCGGCCTTCGAGCCCGCTGGGCGCGCGCGCACGATAGAAGCGCGCGCCTCCGCCCCTCGCGAGCGCGCCCCCCACCCCTCACCGTTGCACGCGCCGAGCCCCTGTGCCCCCGCCTGCCCCGCGCTCCCACAGCCCGAGCGCCGCTCAGCTGACCCGCGGGCGCCAGACGCGGCGGCTCTCAGCTCGCGAGCGCAGCTGCGGCGGCGCGGACCTCTCAGGCCGACACTCCCCCCGCGCCCCTCCCCCACCTGGCCGGGCTCCGGACCCGCCGCGCGCGAGCCCGCGGCCGCTTCCCCCGCGCCGAGCGAGGAGGCAGGCTGCGGCGGCGAGAGGCGGCTGCGCGGCCATGGGCGCGCCAGTGTCGCCCTAGGGCGGGCGCAGATACCACAGCCGGAGCGGTGGAGGCAGCCTCCACAGAAAGCCTTCCCGGGCGGCGGCGGCGGCCACTAGAGCAGCGCGGCCGGGATGAGCGGGAGCGGCGCGGCGCCCGGCCCGGGCTCGGGCTCCTCCCCGGCCGCCTGCCGCTTCGCGCACTACTTCGTGCTGTGCGGGATCGACGCGGACAGCGGGCTGGAGCCTGACGAGCTGGCGGGTAAGGCTAGGGCTTGGGTTCCCTCGGGCGGCGCTGGGTTCCCTCTGGGGCGCGGGGGACGCTGCGGGGACGCGCGGGAGGCGGGGTGCGGGCTCCAGACAAAGTCAGCTCCCAGCGGCGTCCCCCCGCCTCTCTCTGGCCGAACGGGCGCTCGGGCGCGATTTAATGACATTGTTATTTATTCCGCGTGCGGGCTGTGCGGCTGCGCCCAGCCGGGCTTTCGCCTCTGGGCGCTGGGTTATTAATAACGGGCGCGGGGGTGGCCCCAAGGGCACGGTCCCCGCCTGGTGCGTCGGCCCCTTCGCCCGCAGCCGCACGCAGAGGCGGCCAGTGACTCACTGGGCGCGCGGGTTGCCCCCCGGCCGCCGTGCCTGCCTCCCACCCGCCGGCCTCCTAGCCCCGGCCGCGAAGTTTCGGCCCCGCACGTGACGCCGCTCTCGGGCCTCTTGGGGGAGGGGGAGTCGGACTCAGCTCGGCTGCCGCGGGGGTAGAGTCCGCGGAGGCGCCGGTGGCCGTGCGGTGCGGGCGCAGGGCGGGGGCCGGTCGGACTTCATCCTGGACTCTGCCCTCTGCGCCGCCTCCCGCTCTGCGGTGCCGGCCAAGTCACCTTTTGGAATCCTGTGGATTTGGCCGCGTCTGGGAGCTGACGGGGACCTTTGGACGCTCGGGATCCAGCACCGCGCTTTGTTGACACTGCCTACAGTGTTCCCGAGTTTAAACTCACTTGGGTGCACCGTGTGTTAGTGCCTGGTTTTCCCGGAGGGGTACCGGTCCCTCTGCTTGATTCATTTGATGGCGCAGTGCGGGGCTGTGTTGGGGAAAAGATGCAGGGAAAAGGGGCCGTTAAAGGGCAATGGGGGGGCGGCGGAGTGCGCAGTGTCGAGAGGAGGCCGGGGATAAACGACTGATTTCATTTTTCACCCCTGTTCCTTTCCGCTTGCCTCCGCGGGATCTGAATCTTGATATGTTGTTGTCGTTAAATGGGTGAGAGAAGTGACATCTACCGCCTGAACTTTGTGTCAGTGTTAAAGACTTAGGTCATAGCCTTTCAGAACAACTTCCTTAGGACAGATAATTATTGATTGCACCAACGTAAATTTTTCGCTTTTCCTTTGATGGGGATAGATACTGGGAAGAATATATTAAATAATAAACAATAGTAAACAAAACTGTTAAGCCTTAAAATACAGTCCCCATCAACCCACGTCTTGGCTATCTTTTTCTTAACTCAGCTTCACCCAAAACATTTTCTTTTTTTCATATTCTTTGGAGGTAGAAACACAAAACATTTTCAACAAAAACTATAAGTCTAGTTTTAAATTTTGGAGAACTAATAGAATACCAGGTTTTTCTGTATGTGTAATTATGTAATCACATTGTTTCTTCAACTAAGATTTCATGTACATCTTAAGAATGGCTTTGTCAAAGGATATGAAGAAAAAATGTCTGCAGAGAGATTAGGGGAGATTCTTCTCAAACTTGGTGAAGGAATATTCTTATTTTTCTAGACTCCTTTCTTCCCTAAAGATCCTAAACATTTGTGGCACCAGGGTCACTTGGAGGCCTTCTGTCAGTGATGACTGATGAAAGGAAAAAAGCCTGTATTTTTTCTTCTGCATTTGCTTCCTGAAGCTAAAACAGTACCTTTTAGGTGTGACCTAGGACTCTTTAGGCACAGTGAGAATGACGTTAACAATACCATCAGACTTTAATGCATTTTTAAGAAACAAACTCTGATGTCTCTTTTTGCAAAACTGTGAGTGTGGGTGATTGGGATTTCTGCTTCTCATAATATTTAATGTATTCAGGTAATAATGTATTTTGCCTGGTAATATTTCGGTATCATTCATCCAACAGTTTTGAAAGCGTCTATCTGTAGTCGGTTTTTTAGGCACTGGGGACAGCTGTGAGGAAAGCAGTCAGAAATCCCTGCCATCATGGAGCATACGTTCTAGTGTAAAGAGATAATGAAAATACAATAATCTCTCCGTAACCATGGGTGATGGATTCTAGAGTGTCCCCCACACCAAAATCATCAGATGCTCAACTCTCTTATAATAAAATGGTGTAGCATTTGTATATAACCTATGAATATTTTCCTGTACACTTTGTCATCTCTAGATTACTTATAATACCTATTAACGTTGTAATGTTATGTAAATAGTTGTTATACTGTGTTGTTTAGGAAATGATGACAAGAAAAAAAGTCTGTGCATGTTCACTACAGATGCAGCTATTGTAGGCCTAACTACATTTTCAGTCTGTGCTTGGTTGAATCTGTGGATGCGGAGTCCACATGAAGTGCTGACTGTATATAGTTCTCCAGATGTTAATAAGTGCTATGAGGAAAAATAAAGCAGGGGAGTAGATTTAGGGACATGCCAGCAGAGTGGTGGGATGGTGGGGTTGTGATTTTAAATAAGATGGTTTAGGGAAGTCCTCACAGGGAGGGTGACATTTGAACAGAGCCTTGAAGGAGGTGAGGAAGCAGGCCAGATGGATCACCTGGGGGCACAGCATTGCAGGCAGAAGAAACAGCAAGTGCGAAGACCCTGAGTGGGACAGTCCCTAGTTTGTGCTGGTAACAGCAAGGAGTCCAGTATCCCGGTTACTCCGGAGACTGAGGCAGGAGGATCACTTGAACCCAGGAGGTGGAGGTTGCAGTGAACTGAGATTGTGCCAGTGCACTCCAGCCTGGGCAACAGAGGGAGACTCTGTCTCAAAAAAAAAAAAGGTGTTTGTGGTGAGAGATGTTGTTGGCTTGGTGAAGTGGCAGGAAGGACTCAGATTCTAGATAGATGTTGAAGGTTGACCCAATGAGATTTGCTGATGATTTGTATGAATATGTATGAATTCTATGAATATGGTAGTCATATTCAAAGAAAGTGATCAAAGATGACTCCAAGATTTTTGGACTGAACAGTTGTAAGCTTCTCTCCTGAAATAGGAAGACTGGTGGAGAATCAGCCTGGAAATCAGTTCAGTTTTGGATGTGTTAAGTTTGAGGTGTCCATTAGGTGTTCAAATGGAGATGTCACATAGACAAGACATCTCTTGGGGGAAGATCTGGACTGTAGGTATCAATGTAACGCCATGAAATTAGATGAAATTACTTGAGGGTTGAGTATAGATAGAAAAGAGAGGAGGACGCTCAAATGGTTGAGCACTGGGGCCATTCTAGCATGCATAGGTGGGGAGAATGAGGAGGAGACAACTGAGGAGATTGAGGAGTATGGATAGTGACATGGCAGGAAAACAGAAGAATGTCGTATCATGTTCTCAACTAAGAATTTTCTTGACTATTTCTGTAGAGCAACATTTGGGGATCATGAAACTGTGTTAGGCAAATGAGCCAGAAGGTGGTTTCTGTTTTGCTGCATTAATTTCAAAGTTAGTGATAGTTAAGTTTCTATTTTGCCTTGCTGGAGCTGATCTGTCTTTATCACACTTTCTTAGCAAGTTGTCACCCTGCCTCTAGAAGGTCTTAATTGACTTCTATTAAACATAAATTCTACCAGTTTGCTTCATAGACTTTCTTAACATATGCATGTTCCTAGAATTCACACTGCAGGTGGTGGGACATTGAAATCAAATTAAAGACAGTAACAGTTAAATAGACTAAGACCTTATAATAAAACTTATCAAGGCTTCAAATAGTTTTTAGACACTCCTAGTAAAACCCAGCTTAAACAGCAATGGAAAAGACTTCTTTCATCTCAAATACATAGATCTCTTAATAGCTGAAAATAATTTAGCTATATACATAAAAATATATTTTAAAATGGAGGACTTAGAAACTTTATGGTGATGTCCACATGTATATACTGATATACTCATATTACCTGTTGTCCTTTCTGTACCACATCTGAGTTGTGCTTCTCCTACTCATTGTATATTTTCAAGAGGCACTTTGTCCATAAACAAAATATCCTTTGGGAGAAATGTTTAAATTTCCTTTAAATATTAAAGATAAGGAAAAAGTTTCAAAGCAGAATTCTTTATTGCATATAGAAGAAAGGAGGTATAAATGGAGGTAAATCATGCAGTTAGTTGATGTCAGAGAAGGCAGACATCATTTTGAAATCTTATTTTATAGCTCTTATTTCCTTTAAAACCTGGCTATAGGAATACACATGGCTTAATTTACAGCTATCTTTTGAGCAATGGGAAAATGAAGGACATGATAAGGCCTTTATTAAGTAACATAAATATACAGGCCCTCTAAGAGAGCAGGGACTTTGTCTCTTTCATAGTGTCTTATATACAGTACACAGTGTTTAATAAGGGAATGAATATAAGTTTACATATGAGTCTATAAATTATGTGATGACCAGAATATTCTTAAAGTGTTCCCTTGGTAGTCTGGATTCAGCCCTCCCAGTAGTTGTTGAAGTCTGATAGATGAGCTCTCTGCCATAGAGCTTTGTTTAGATCTTTTCCTTGGTGTTTCTCTGCAGCTATTTTTAGCTTTGGTTGTGTTGGGTGTGGTTTTCAAAAGAGCGTAGAGACAGTGGAGACCATGATCTGAATTCAAATAAGTATAAAATTTAGTCGAGACTGACAGAATATCATGTCACATTAGTTCTTGAAGGGACCGTAAACATATTTACGGTAAAGAAACTGAGGCTCAGAGATTAAGGGCCCTCTCAGATTACATTTGATCAGCAGTAGACACCTGACTAGTGCCTGGTGGTTCCAGTGCACTATGCTCCATAGTTATTCTATTTAAGCTCAGAAAAAAGATGAGCTTGACTCATTCAACAAGCATTTCAGGATTGCCCTTATTCCAGACTGAATGTCATAGTCAAGACTGTGCTGAAGTGTGTCTTTTAAAAACAGCGGCCGGGTGTATAGGCTTAGGTGGAATAGAAGCTACCCTGATCCAAATACCATTGGTACTGTGTCAGTTGTTAGCTTTGTTGACTTCCTAGGCTCACAGTAGATTCCTGGGAGTTTGGAAGGTCTGCCCTGGGTAGCTCGGGGGCTGGGGAGGGAGTAGT